CCCCCCCCCCCCTCTCAACTTTTTTTAATTACGCATTAAATTGGTAAATGGGCCAAATCGTGACGCTTAAAAATATAATGTTCTCGCCTCAACTGATGAACTAGTACCAGTTTAGCAGACTTCGGTTGTGTCTGGCGCAGTGCAGTTCAGTTGTGTGTGCCATTTACACTTAAGTTATCTCGGTTACTGTGCTCAGAGCTTTCTCTGCATGGTTTCAAAGGGGTAGTGAAAATGGGGCTATAGTAAACAGCATTTCAGTATCATCAGGGCAGTGCTGTGAATACAAGCATCTAAAGTTTTCCCAGAACCCCTCAGTGACGCGCATCCGCCATGTAAACAAGACGCCACTTACATTCAAAACATCTCAGAGTGAACGCATCATAATTGGGTCTATATCACATATTTAGTCTCTAGCTCTATTTCTAAGAATCTGGTTCTCCTGAGAGATGAGGCTCCGCCCCCATATGAGTTCCTTGTATGTACAGACAGGACTTTTTAATGGCTTCTTGTTGCCACTATAACACAGAGTTTCCACCTAAGCTGTAAATCTCTGCAGATCCTCCAGAGTAACCAAAAACACTATCCATCACTGCAAAAACGATTTTTTTGAAAACTTCTTAAATAAAGTGTATTTAACCTTAATTTGAGTGAGTAAATAGGATGATTTGCCAATGTACTAAGTATTTTACTCTTAAAATAAGACATTTACACTTGAAATAAGACAATGGAATTGTTTTTTTTATTTTAAATATAAATTTTTCTATTGGCAAAGTGTCTCACTTACCTCAATTCAAGAAAAAATTGACTTATTTTAAGAAAAAATACTTATTTAGATTTCTGTTTGTTGCTACTGTTGAACCATCTAATAATGGGTGGAAACCAAGCATCCTTTCCCTCTTTTTAATCAATATGTTCTATAATCCTATTAAAATAGAAGTTTAGTGGGAAAATGTCTAACAGGTTTAAAGGGTATAAATGCTTCTGAATGATGCCATAAACTTGCACTGCAGTGAAAGGATATAATATTGTCCAGGGCGGATGGCCGCCGTTGATGTAGAGCACGTAGGTGAATCCGTCTTTGAGGACGCCGCGTATGGAGTAGTAGTAGGGAAGGTAGTGGTGCTGCCTGAAGTCCCTGTTCTCATAGAAGTGGATGGCAGTGTTGTTGGTGGTGAGGACGTGCAGGTAGATGGCCTTGCAGTGGTCCTGAGCGATGGTTGAGATGTGCTCCTTCAGGCTGTCCAGCAGCAGGGAGCCTGGGTGGGTAGAGGGGGACGAGGAGAGCCACAGAGCTCCATCACTAAAACATCAAACCTCTACTGAACATCAAACACTTCACAGGATGTTGGAGTGGAATTTAAAAGTAATAAAATAAAAAAAGGTTCCTTAAAGAAGACGTTTTATGAAATTAAACCAGGTCAAACTAAAACGTCTGGATAGAGCATGTTGACAGACTATTTTCTTCCATATAAAATGCAAAATATTTACATAATTCTTTTACAATTTTGACATAATTACTGCTCTAAGTAGGTCTGGCTTCAGCTTCAAGCATACTTTAGAGGCTGTAGACTCCAGTTAACAATTGATTACTAAATTAGTAGATGATTATTTCAATAATAGATTAATTCAAACCCCCATATAGGTTAATCTCTGCTCTACAGTCTGTTCATTCAGCTCCTGCTGACTCGTCTGCATCAATTTCCTTTCCTTTAGCTTCATAAACTACAATGTATGACTGCACCTCGACTAATGTTCTACATTAAATCACATCTTTAAGGTGAGACCTGTAGATCCTCATCAAAAACAGAGAAATGTATCTTTTTTTTCAAGAGCAAACAAAAAGCACATTCCTCTTAGAA